TAGCCTCTGGAAACCACCTTTCTCTTTGAAAATCATGGACATCATCATCATCTGGTTGTTTAGAAAAGGTGCACTTGCTGTTTCCCTGGAAAGTCCAAAAGTTCCTTATTGCTCTCTGATAAGTATCTGACAATTATTAATAAGTGTCTTGCAACAACCCAGGGAAAGGATGTAGCACTTCCCTGTCCTCAAGGGCTTAGAAGGACAGGCATGCCTAGACCAATGCCACACTAAGCAAATGCTGAGTATCTAGCCCTTGTTGGAGGGTCTAAAGACACATGTGTTTCTGACAGGGTTTTCCCTGCCTCTCCACAAGTTAGGTGGGGCCGTTTTGAAGCAGGCAAACATGCAACTGTGGCTTTGAGGTGTTTCTGAAGACCCCTTCCCAGTGCCACTCAAGAAAGTGCTTTGAAAATCTAGAGTTAAGCTATGGGATGCACTGTTTGGTGCAGCACATGAGGACACAACTAGGAGCTTAGCCTACTTTATTTCTCTGTCATATTGCAAAGAATATAGGATCCCTCTGTTTTTTCAAGCCTCACACCTTCTACAGCCCCAGTTTGCCCTCCATGACTACTCACTCAGGAGAGCAGCAGGGCAGGTCGGGTTCAGCAGCTCCCTGCAAGCTGTGGGAACAGGGAACAATGCAGGGGTTTAGACCTATGTCAGAGCTTTTGACCACAGAAGTCCTCCAAGCCCTCAACCATAAACATAAACAGCTAACAACAATAACAAAACCATCCTTAAGCACATTAAAGCAAATTATAAAGGATAATATCTAAGTTAGTGTCAAGCTATCCGAAGTGGAGAGCAAAACAAATGGATTGGCTCTTGGGGGTTTGTCCCATGTGTAGTCAGAAGAACTGATATCCTATTCTATTATGTTGTGAACATGTTGAATGTAAAAAAACAATAAATGTTATCAGAAAATTCTTCATCTCCCTGTGTAAGGTCTGATAAGAAATACTGTGTGATATTTGCTATCACTGCTTTTGTACAAGTCTTTTAGCAAAGACAATAACAGGAGGAGGAAGTCAAAATCCAGTCCATTTTGTTTAGATTAAACTTAATAATCACAGTCCACTTTGTTTAGATATGACTTAATAATTGCTACAATTTCATGCAATGAAGTCCACAAATTCATTCTCTCACCAGGTTTGTAGATTGTCTGTAAACAGCTGAAAAGAATAATAAATCTGAGTTCTTAATTCAGAAAGATTTCCCTAAAAATTTTTCACAGGAATTCTCGAGCTATATATTCTTTGTGATCACATTGCTGTGAATAGTCAGTATTCAAAGTACAAGGCAGACTGCTTAAATCTGAATGGCCTGATGAATCACATGAAATTATTTCTGAAAAAACTTTGTTTATACATCTCAGCTGCACATCACAAAGGAAAGCCACATTGAGAATAGAAGGTCATAACAGTTATATAAAAATTACAAAGATAAAAAATAATAAAATAGTCACAGAACACTTTTCAGTAAAAAAAAAAACTGCTAAGTTGACTGATTATAGACATCAAATCAATATATGCTACAATAGAAACCAGTATCAATGGACTACCTCCTAAAACAGTCTTGCATGTATGACCAGTCCCAGCAACTAATGTATTTTCCAGTACTTATGACACACTAGTGTAGAAGATGTGTCTCTTCCCAGAAAGGGAAATGAGAGAAACTTGGTACCAACTGCATTCCCTGCTGCTGGGGGTCAGACAGCTCTGGCTGCTGCATCTAATATTGTTTCTCTGTTCTGGCAGGGCCAGGCACGGTGGTGACAGCAGACCATGAAGCAGGAGTAGAAGAGGGTCTATAAAATACATTTGAATCTGAAGTTCCTCTTGCCCTTTCAATTTCAGGAAGGAAAAAATTTGTCAATAAATCTGTACCTTTGAAGGCATTTTATTGCATGCCTAAATGCAAGTCCGTGCTAATAGGACATTATTTGGCTCACAAAGCTGAGGACTTGCAAGTTAAGAAATGCCAATAGGAGGACTGCCTTTGCAATCTGAGACATCTCCTCTTACGTATGCAGCCATGTACACATCTCAGTATGAGGCTGCTCACAGCTCTAATTCTCCAAGGCTTATCAGAGATACAGGATATCTTGCATGTTGCCTCTGTCCTTCAACATACAAGGCCAGCAGTGGGAACCACACTTTCCTAAATGATGGCAAAGGCATGGAGTAAGTCCTAGCCAAAATAAAGCTCATAGGTAGATGGAATAATTTGCATTAGCTCAATTAGGATAGTTAGAAAAAGGAAAAAAAACTTACAGGCAGACAAGTGCTTTTATGGGTCAGAAAAAGAAATAGCAAATTCCCAAATAAAGCTGCAGGCATTTGCTCTGCAAAAAAACCCCAAACAACCAAAAAAACTCCCTCTTCAACTCTGGGATCTGAGCTCCATGGAGGCAATGACTTCTCAGCAGATGATGCAAATCTCTGTAGATGGTTGCTTGCCTGTTACAGAGGTAGAGACCTACTTTCCCCCAAGCTATGCTACATGTCTTGGAGGGGCCCTTCCTCCATGGCAATCACTGACTGTGTCTGCAGGGGTAGAGCAGGCTCCCCAGCTACTCTGTGTGGACCAATACTTATGGCATGAGCACAAGGCAGGAATTAACCCCTCTGCACCCATGACAAGCCAGGGCAGCTCCACCAACCAGCACAAAACCAGCAAACCCCACATGGCAGATTATATCCACCCAGGTTTGGGTCTCGAGGTCCCTCCCTACCTAAATCACCTGCAGCCAGCCTGAGGCATCACTGTGCTCCAGCTGCCCATCAGCATTTTGGCACTTGCCTTCACAGATCTGTCTTCCAAGAAAACTTATTTTTCTTGTGTGTTTCTTTGTGATGTTGGCTGAAAGGTCTAAGGATTGAAAACAACAGATAAATGGAATGGATAAATAGGAACGTTAAGAAAGGAGCAGGTCAGGTACACCAAGATTCCAAGTGCCTGTTAGCAATTTGGGCTGCCTCTTTCATTTAGCAAAGCAGGCACCAAGAGCTGGAGATCATAGGTGAATTATCAGGTATTTACTGGACGGTAAGGGGAGGGCAGTGGCTGGCTTCCCTTTCTGATATTTTTCCTGAAGTTGAAATATCCAAATAGTAATTCCTTGTCTATTCCTTACAACTTCTTATAAGTATGTATGCTTGCAAGTCACCTCAGGTTAGCTTTGTCAGAATAACAACAGATAGATCATTCTACATACCCATGTTTTGGCTTTTCCAAATTCCCCTGAATGCTGAAAGCTCTTAGGTTGACATGTTTTTCTCTGTGTGATTCTCTTGGTATGGCTTTGTGGTGGCCTGATGTCATACCTAACCACAAAAGACCATGATCTAACATACCATAACTTAAAAAATACAGTGTCTGACACATTGGTTTCTTAAGCTCACAGGAAAAATATTTATGCCATAAAACTTCTTAGCTTTTCAAAAAGAAGGGCCCTGAAAGATGACATTTATAATACCATATGGTATATTTGGGGAGTAGGAACATTATATGGGTGAGTTTGCTTTTTTATTATTATTATTATTATTATTATTATTATTTTGAGTAAACAGAATACTTGGTACTTCTGTAGCATATGGAAAACATTCTACAGACATGAAAGAATGTTCCTTTTAATGTCCAGGTCTCTTTCATACCACAAGGGCAGTTCAGCAGTTTGGCATTGCTGGAGCAGTATAAAGCAGCCTCTGGGTGAGAATCTGGTTCAGGCAGCAGGGAATGGCAATTTAAAAAGTCATTCATTTGCAGGCTTGAATTGAAGAAAAGACTTGTAGGAAAGAATATGCAATTCATCTTTTGCAAAATGCTGTTGGTGAGAGTAAGGCAGTAGAAGGTATTTTCAGGACATTGTGTATAGGCAAAAGACTGTGATGGGACAAAAGTATAAAAAAAAAAGACAAACCTTTCAAGACACAGACTTCAGCAGTGCCACTAATCGCTGTTTTGTTTCCAGCAACTGAGATTCTGTGTCTTTTTACAAACATGCCATTTGTGTTTTGAGCTAAATGGCTGAAGGGCTGAAATTCAGCCCTTTTTCTGAAGGCTTGTGGCCTGTAAAGCTTTCCACCTTTTTTATTTTTAATTTCTTTTTCCCCCTTTGCTCAGCTATGGCTTCATTCTCACAGTTAACTAAGCTGGAAGCTTCCAGCTTGGAAGCTGGCAGCCTCCAAGAGGCAGGGTAAGGGCTGGAATTTCCTAGGTCACAAGTAGGACTCCAGCCTTCTTTGAGGCATGGGGCATTCCCTCCGAGCAGGAAAGATGCTTACAGCTGCTTTCTGATCTTCAAGACAAGTTAATGATGTCACTGTCTAAATTAATTAATTCTGTAGACCAAGAAATGCAATCACTGCTACCACTGGTGATCTTCAATGCATGCATTTCTATTTCCCCCTCCTCACAGCAAGGCAAGGAAAGTGTGCTGTTCATTTCTCTCCTCAGTGACATCTCACAGACTTTACCTTCATGATGGTCCTGCAGCTGGTTGTGGCATCTCAATGATCCCAAATCAGAGCTGAAGGCATGGAGGCAGTGGAGGTTTCTGGTTGGAGCTCAGGCTTGGCCAGATCTCCCCAGGGTGCAGGCATTCCAAGTGACCCCTCACTCTGGTCTGACCTTGGGCTTCACACCTGGGCTGACGCAAACATAAATTTGGACCAGAGCTGAATGTTTTGGGGCAGCTCCAGTGCCCCCAGGGGGCACTGAGCTCTGCCTCAGATCCGGTAGGCAGAGCCTGGGGTTGCAAAAGCTGGGAAATCAAGCTAAAAATAGGTGTTTCAGTATAAGTCTGTTTTTCAGCTCTGTTTTGCTGCCTTAAATGCTAGAAATGTGGGCAAGTGGTTTTTGGTACCAAGAGCCGCCTTTTCATTTTAAAAGAATGTCCCCACCAACCACATCCCCATGTAAGGAAAAAGCAGCAACTTACTGGTAAAGCTGTTAAGTGGGAAGGCAGAATTACATTCTCTGTTAAACCTTACCGTCATTTAAGTGAAGCTTCGATGGTTTCAACAGCTCCTTACCGGGCGCGCCGTGTGCACAGAGTGCTGCACAAAACCCTCTTGATCCTCTGAGGGCTGCCAAGAAACAGGAGGCTTGCCAGGCTGCCAGGCAAAGTCTCTACTCCCTGCTGCATCATGGTTGTTTGGGTCTGTGTGTTTACCTAAATCAGAGAAAGCATGGGATGAAATACTTCTTCATTAAGGCTGCAGCTGGGGTCTTGCATTCCAGTTTATTGAATAGTCTGGCATAACTGACATTTTGCATTTATTATTTTTGGACTGAAGGAGAAATGTCCCCCTGATAAAATGAATGCATGGAGAGCATTATAGAAAGAGGTGAAAAGTTTCTCTTACCTTGTACAGAAAGTGTGCCACATGCAGCTCAATATGTCAGCCAAGGGAAGGGATACACTCACAAACTGTTACCGAAACTTTAAGGCTCACAGGAGTGCAAGGCAGTCACTGCTGGGTATTTCGATGAAAAAAATATTGATCCATACATTATATGTCCTGAAAATAGGAAAAGGGTGGAATTTGTTTTTTTCTGAAATTCTGGTTTTACAAAGGAACAATTTCAAATTCCAATATCTGGGGAAACAATAAACAAAAGGAAAAGTTCAGGAGATATAAAATCTGGACACAGGATGGCATTTTGGAGCACAGATTCATCTACTGTTAAAAACAAAACCAAATGCTGAACTCTGTAACCCAACCACAGTATCCTGCTGATTCAAGAAGCCCCTCCATTCAAAGAATATAAACTCTGCTATGACAGGAGCCAAGAGCTGTCCTTTATGGAAAGCAGGAAACTTTTCTAAAGGGCCAGTTTATGACCTGGTTGGAGAGCTGGAAATAATTAAGTGTTCTTGTCAAAGGTCAAAGTCATAGGGTTAAATTCCTAGGAACTCAAAACAACCCTCAGTGACTGTGCCAAGACTGATCATTTGGCCCTCTTCTGTCCACAGTGGGCAGGCAGTGAGCAGCCTGGGACAGCAGTGAGCCATGCTTTAGTTATCTGCCCTTTCCCATTCCAAGTCTGACATTTTTAGATTCATCACACGCTCATGGTCTAAAAAAGCGTAGCTGAGGTTAAAAAAATAAAAATAAAATCTGGAAAGAAGGATTGCAGCCAAATGACCTATTTATAGCAACACCAAATATGAACTAAATACCTAATGACAAACAAAGATCCTGATTCATATTCTACTTCTGATGTAACCCTGCTCAATTCAAAGAGGTATTAGACTTTATAGGAAGAATCTGCCTCTAGATGAAAAGAGCAGCACTGGTCTGGCCCTTGGGGAGCTGTCATGTTCTGCTGTATACATAAAAACTGCAAACAGTCTATATCTGTAGCTGTGCCTGGCGTTATTACTGAGCAGTGCTCAAAAATGTAAAGAGGCGGAAGGGGGAATTCACTCATTGGGTGCTTTTTCATCAAATGATGACTTTAGCCTCTCAGAGAAGCAACAGTCTGTCTCCTCTTGTGAGACTTGGCTCGAACACAATGCAACAATGAACAGCATAAGTTTGTCAACATCCCTAACACAAGCTATAAGCATATCCTGGTGAGATGTATGCAGTGTGACTCCTTCCAGTGCATTCACCAGCCTGAAAGCAGAGAGGCAAGTGGGGGGCTGAGGTAGAGAGGACCGATACCTCCTCCACACACTGCGTGCCAGAGGGAGGCACACACTGCCCTCAGAGTTGCTTTTCCCATTGCTTTTCATTCAGAGTCGTTTGCCCTGGCCCCTCCAAAAACTACCTGGCTCTTGCTTTGAGCATCTTTCTAAGGCAAAGAATAACCCCCAAAACACTTGGAGAGTATTTCTCTGCACTAATTTCTGGCAAATTTTCTGTTACAAGCCAAGCAGATTTACCCTGCTACACCAAGAGAGCAGAACTGTATTTTTATCCCAGTGTTTTAAGCTCGAAATCATCTTCATTCTTCCTGGTGCGAGGGATCAGGTCATTCTCTGTTTGTCCAAGTCCCTTTCTTGATTCAAAGCAAACTATCTGGTTTAAAATTTCTCCATAAAATAAAACTATAAGTGTCAGGCTGGATCTGAAATCCAAAGTTGGTAGACATCTTGCTTCACCATGGGATGAACTGAGGTCAAATTACAAATATTTATGAGATTTTGGGATAGTCCAGGGTCTGGCATAAGTCAGGGATAAGTCAGTCTCTACTGCAGATGGCCCTTCTGCCTGTGTCTCTACCAGTTCACAAGCAATCCTGCTCCATCAATTCATACTCATTCATCCTCCTCCTTCCTCCCTGTTCAAATTTCTAAACCTGAAGAGTGACTAAGACCACGTGGTGACCTTCTGCACTGACTCTTCTGTCTTTTGTGAATCTAAATTGATTTTCCTTGCATGGGAACATCCAGGATCTACCCTTTGACCTTCAAGCCTGAGGTTGTGTATTAGCAGTAAGAGAGAATGTGAAAGCGGCATTTGACTGTCAGCATTGGCAAGAAATATGAGCCACCCTCTACCAGAAAACAGTCTGTTTCTGTCCAGTGCCTGGAAATATGGGAATTGCCAGACTTGCTTAGAAACAAGGGTCAATATCCTGTCTCTGATGCTAGCCAGCACCAGATGCTTGAGAGAAAGGTCTGAGAAGACTGTAGCTTGCAGATATGGGATAATCCCATTCTTATCTCCCTGCTTTGGAGAACAGTATAGCACGCAGGAGCACAAATACAGACACTGCATGCCTCAGAGAGGTCTCTTTCTGGGAAGATTGCAGTATTCTGTGTCACGTCAAGTATTGTTAAACACCCAGTACTATAGCATGCAACAGACCACAAAGAAGGGAACGAATAAGACAAGGGATGACGAAGGTTCAAGAACTGTATTTAGCTCTTGGGTTACTATAATCGGTGTGCAGCCAACAGCTCAACTGAAAACGAACATAAAAACAACTCTGTTCACCAGTCCAGAGCTGGCTGTCCAGACAGGAGCTAAAATACCCTTTAGACAGAAGAACAAAGTTACTGAAAGAAATTGCCAACCCTCCACCCATATTCTATATATGGGCACATTTTATAATCTGGGCATATTCTTGATCATGATTTATGGTCCCTTTTCCATGCTTCTAGGGTCAACTGTTAGGCTTCCTGATTCCTTTAGGCAGTCAATGATCTTCAGGTTTCTAAGGTGTGTTCAGCTTGTATTAATGCTCCTCCCAGTCCCTACCTACTGGAAGGTAGATGAAGTGGGGCCACACTTAGCTTGGATATGTTTCTACACTGCCCTGAACAGATTACCTTATGATTTTAAAATGTTTTTTCATAGCAACACTGATCCACAGGGAGAAAGAGCCTTTCTTTGTGTAAAGCAGAAGCTGGGGATTTGATGTGTGGTTTTTCAGGGATTCTGCAAAGCTACTGGAACAGCCACTGTGGATTTCCTGGCCTGATTATTTCTCTGTTTTGAGTATACCTGCTGTTACGTAAATTAGATGATTATGAAAACACTACACTGTTCATTACCCACAGCTCAAATGAGAGGGGGAGGAGGAAGTTTGTGTTGACCTGCGAGAGAATTTTGTTATTGATACCGTTGAGGAAAACAGAGATCTCAGCACACTTTGCTTGTTTAATTAGTGTCTGTTTCTAAGACTCAGATGTCCCACAGAACTCTTTCTGTACCAGTAATTAAAACACATAAAATTGTAGAGAGTTATAAGATGATAATCCACATTATCTGATACTGCTGCTATTTGATAGCTCTTCAAACAAAGTACAAAGAAACCTTGATCTTCCTAATGTGCTTTACTCACAAAGAGGCCCAACACAAAGGGACATATAACTCTCCCTTCTAAAATCAGTGGGCATAAAAAATAGGATTGCAATTTCTTGGCCAAAAAAAAGTGTTTCCTTGGTATTAGCAGAGTAAGCTATTTTTAGTGTTGTTCTGAAGTCTTTGAGAGGGGCCCCTCTGAATCAGTTCAAAACGCAAAGTCCTCCTCCCTAATCTGGAGAATATTGTACTCCCTTTTCTCTTGCAATGTAGGTTGTTGAACAGCAAAAGAATAACCTCATGGGCTCGTTTTCCTGGAAAGGTTCCTTAAATAAAAGCTCCCTCTGCCCTCCCTCATCCTTTGCAGACGCAGTTACATCCAGGGTTTACCACCTTCTCTGCAAGCAAAGGAGAGCCCCGCAGGGAGAGCCAGGGCTGAGCTCCAGGGTTAACTCTCTCTCAGGACTGCTGGCTGTGAGTCACACTTCATCCTCAGTCCCCAGCAGGCAAACTTTCTTCTCTCTTTCTCTTTGTACTCTTCCTCATCCTTTCTACAAGGGCAGATGATCAATATACCTGCTTTTTTTCAGGCAGGGCATTGTTTAAGAGAAACAGTACATTCCCTAGATACTGCTAGTGCCATATGGGAAACCACATGGTCATGTGATGCAAAAGTTGATCTGACATAAATTCATTCTGCTATCTCAAGTTGGTTAAAAATTGTTGATGGATACCCCTTGCCTTGGCAAGATTAATGCCAGAACAGACCTTGCATGTTTTGGCTGAATGAGCAGGGCCTGGCCTACCCATCACATCCAAATGTCACTGTGTGTCATTCCCTGATGGGGAGCAACTACCTACTGATGAGTGACTGCTCCATATAGTCTTGCAACAACAAGCCATGGTGCTGGGTGGTCCAGGGTCCTGGCAGGTTTGGCAGTGCCATCCACCACTGCACCTCTGCACAGCAATTACAAGAGTGGAACAATGATTCCCACTTGTCAGATGTTTGCTGGCCTACCAAGCAGAAAACCCTTCCTTCACACCAAGCTGTGGCGTAGTGTTTCAGCCAACTGTTCCTCATTAGGCAGAGACAGACCCCTTTACATGGGATCCTGAGGACACTTGAACTTTAACTCCAGGCTGCCCCCCAGGGTGTACTTCCAGTCCGATGTGTATTGCCCTGCAATACCAGTGCTCAATACAAGCCTTAGTTTACGATCAAGAAATCTCTCCTGATGTCTTGGTCCATCTTGCCTTCCCTGGGGAACACAGTCCAGCACTGGTCCCTCATCCTTCTCTGCTAGAAAGGCCAAGCCTCACTCTTTCAGAGACTGTTTCCTGAGCAGCCCCACAAAGCTGTTTGGCAGCGGCTGCACTGGAACTGATACCCCTGAGCTTGGTGGGACAGGCCTGGGCTTTCCAAAGAGAGCAACTGCAGGATGTAACAGGAGAAGTTAGGGGACCTCACAGGTTCAGAGCCAGCACAGTGCCAGCTCTGAGGATGCTGTTCCATGAGGTCAATTCCTGTAGCTGTTAAAGAATAAATTGCTATATAAAGTCATGCTGCAGTCAAGCAGAGCTTCAGGAACAGGATGGTCACCAGAGAGCTGTTGAGTCCTGGTAGCTACTTGCTTGCTGTTTCAAAACACTGCCAAGGTTTTAAAAGCTTGCAAGGAAAATACATCCCCCCACAAGCCCCTGCTGGGGCTGAGGCTGCATCAGGTCCCTGATCCTCCTGCTGTGCATCCTTCTCCTCCGTC